TGGGCTTTGCCTGTCCCCACTCACCCCAGCCCCTGCTGCAATGGCCCTGGGAGCAGCTGACACCAGCTGCCTGCACCAGGGCATGGCGCGGTGCAGAAGCTGGGGGGAGTGGGGAGAGGCGGAGCCCAGGCATGGGGTGACAGGTGAAGCATGGTGCAGCCCAGTGGCTGCAAGCAGCTGACACTGACCGTTCCCAGGGCCCAGTTGTGTTCTCAGGCTTGCTACAGTGGTAGGGACATGCTAGAAAAGAAACAACTACAGAAGCCAAAAACATTTCTGTGATGGGGTGATCTGACCACATAGCGGTTAGCTTTAAACCGAATGGAACTTCTTCTTTCCTTGCCTCAGTATCTGTTCTACATCCGGGAAACTAAGGAAAGTCCCTTAATTATAAGGAAGCAGAATGAAAGAATTGCCTTGCTCTCCTGGGAGCCAGTCCTGCTTTCTCAGTGACCTGACTGCCTCCAAAACCTGGGCATGGCTGAACAGATTTCACAGGCTTTTTCAAAGTTGGAAAATGACCTGTTATAAAAGGTATGTGGCAATGTACTCTGGGGTAAAGGGAACCTTGCCCTGTCCTTGAACTTTAAGGCCCTTTGCCCGTTTGGGTTGTCGTAACTGGATTATAACTTCCTGAGGACAGGCTCTCTGAAGCACTTTGCAGATAGATACCCACTCATGCCTATAAGGATGCCTGAAGGGGTTTAGCAGAGGGAACCCTTTAGGGAAGCTTTCAGCCTGACCTTGTTTCTACAGCACACCTACACAAAAATGTAAGAGCCAAATTTATGTATATGTTTTAAAGAAATTCTCCCCATGCTTCTTGAAGGTGGAGAAATTGTCTGTTTATAAAGACTTAAGATGATGATGCTTTCACAGATCTGGTACCAGCTTGGCTTTTTCCCTGGCTGTATTTGTCAGAAGGGCTGTACTCCTTATGAAACCTGTTGAGCTGGTACTTGGGCTCAGTTGCATAACTAGGGTGGGGTGTCTGGGGCAGCAACCCTGGGTGCTCACTTAGGGGGTGGAGGGGAGGGGATGCAAAACTAATATCTGCTGCCCAACCTTTACAGTTGCACTGGTGGTACAGCAGCAGCTGGAAGTTGCCACTTCCCTCATATATCCTGCTGCCTCAGGTGCTCAGTTGCCTTATTACACCCCTGCCTGGACTCCTTCTTGGCTCCAGGCGCTGCCAGTAGCTCTTCTTTCTCAAACTGCACAATGATTTCAGAGAGGTTGTGTAGCTGCACCTTAGTCTTCCTAAAGCACAGCTGCTCCAAAATGACCACCAGCTCACTGAGTTAGCAAAAGGCATGGGCATCTCTACGCTTTTTGGCAGCAGAGACTAGTCTCAGTCTACCTTTTGAATTTCTTAGGCAACCCAGGGTGCAGAACTGCTGCTTAAGTCCCTAAAGGGAGTACTTTTTCTCATTCCTTCTACTGCCTTGAATAGTAAAGGTGATGGCCAAAAGTGAAGCCTTAAGCTCAGTAGGTAACCTTGTGTAATGCTACCAGAACTCCCCACTCTATCATTCTGTGAAATGGGGATAATATGTCCCTGCTTCCAGGGCCTAGAGGAGGGGGAAATAGTTACAGTTGTACTGGACACCCTGAAATCATGAGACTTCTCTTTCTTGGTAGACATTACCATATATTGACTAAAACATTAGCAGGTAACATGCAGTAAAGTAGAAGTATGATTTCTAGAAACTTAATTCTGTGCTTATGAATTCAGCTTAGACTTCAAATAGAATGTTTTTATTTCCTGTTCCCAAAATGAGGGTGGGAGCCCATACCAGCCTGTACTAGTTCCTCAAATTTCTCGTGGAGGCCTTGTCTGCTTCCTGGGGGAATTGATACTGTTCCGTGAAAAACAATGGAGAATCGAGCATAACCCAAGGAACTGACTACTCTGGGGTCTGAGGTTGGAAAGATTGGATCCCTTCGTTCAGTTTAATAAAAACAATCATTCAAAGTTCTTTAAGCCAAGCTTTATTAGTAAGACACAATGGACTGGAAAAACCCACAGGGCTGATCAGATTTCACTGTTGCTTAGACACTAAAGTGAATGTAGAACTGCTATTGTGATTTGGGTATGTAAATACTCATTGGCATATGTGAATGCCCAAAGGAGCTAGTAGGGCCAGCAACCTACAGCCTGTGGAGCCATCTTATCTAGCCCATGGAACCAGGGGACTTTGACAGTCAGAAATGGGGGAGAAGAGAGGGTTTGGCCAGGCAGTGAGGAAATACGGTGGCACTACTGAGCAGGAAAAGGGAGTGGTAACTCCAGCTGCCAGATGTGGTGTCACTGCAGACGAGGTTGGCAGTATCACGCACTCAGAAATAAACTTTATTAAAGTAGGCCCTCACTACAAATCATTTCCTGTTCCTGAGCAAGGGCATCTGTGAATCTCATCCAGAACTGAAGGCAACAGGAATGATAGTTTGAATGAGGGTCGATAGGGAAATGTTCTTACCTGAAACCAGGTCTGCTTGACATAATCAGCTGACAGAGAGATCTTGGAAAGTCTGTGTTGCTACTATAGACAGTGGTGTTCTGCATTCTGTCAATTTTTAGACACTGCATTTGTCCCAGGAGCTAAAAATTCAGCACCTTTCATAACCATCAAGTTCCCACAGGCTAAATTTAGAACAAAAGATGCCTCATGGGCATAAAAAAAAAATACCGGCTTTTCTGTTACCTATAAGTCTGCTACCATTTAACTTGTCTGAATGAAGACCTTGGTTCTGATAATGAAACGCTGGCTTAGTAGCTTGCTTATCAGTTGATGTGATGAATGTCATCTAGCAGTTATTTTTTATACTGTAACCAGGAGTGGATGTTTCTTGGACAGCTTCTGAAAGTCACCTGCTTTGGAACCTTTGGCTTGTAGATAAAGGACTGGAAAAATTGTTTCAACTTGCGTTATTGAGATCATGCATCTTTGCAGGTTGAATGCGAGATGGTCATAATTCTGATCCGGTCGGTGAAAGTCAGGTGCTAATTTGGTAGCCTTCCATAAAGGGGGTGGGACAGAGTAGACAGGAAACATTGTGGTCAGTTTCTGCCCTCAGATACAGAGGTGCATTTGCTGCAAGCTATGGACACAGCTTTTATTACAACTGCATTGCTTTTGCACATCTGAGAGCACTATAAGGGAGAAGGTAAAGTGTGGAGTTCAGTGGCACTCCTTTTTGTCAGGAATACGACAGGAAAGGACACTTTTTGGTGCACAAGATGAGCAAATCTTCCTTTGTATTCACTGGTTTTATTGTCCACTTAAAATTGTAATACTGCGTTCAACAGTTTACAATTTTGGATGAGCAGAAACACAGCTTTCTGAATACTGAGTAGCTTTATACTAACGCCTATCTACATTTTTTTCCCCTGTAGTGTGTTTGCTAGAAAATAAAACATGTTGTTTACTACTAACTATAAAAATGGCTGGCAGTGTAAAAATTCACTTACCTTACAAAAAAATTAACTATCAAGCAAACTTTTATTTTTGCTTGTTCAGATGCTTAAAGGTGTTGCTGAAGCTTAAAATATTGCAACTTTTTGGAAAGGCAGCTCCATTGCTTACTTTAGTCTGCTATGTATTGGTAAGGGAATTGAGCTGTCTAGACTTGCATGCTAAAGTGTTACGCTCCTAAAGCTTCTCTCTATTTCTAACAGTAAAGTATTTTGTTGGTTTAACAAAACATGTTATAGGTTTACATTTATCCTGGTGTTAATATCTAGGATTGTTTGAAAGTGTATGGATCAGCATTTTAGAAGGAACAGAATCCGAAACATTATACTTGGAGCTGCATCTCTTTGACTCCTCTGAAGTGTAAAAGAGAATTCAGATTTATTATGCATTTGGAATTGAGTAACTTCACCTTTGAAGTGAAAGTGAACTAATGAACCAAGCTCGCTGTTGACTGCTGATTCTTTTGTTATGGACATACATTCCTATTACTACATCTTGTTTTGCTTAAATACCCACGGAACAAGAACAGGTCATCTTTGGCAGTAAGAA